CCCTTCTGCCAGCAGGGGGGAGTAAGGGGGCAGGAGGGGGTGGATTCTGACCCCCATTTTGATACTGAGGCCCAGGGTGATGTGGGGCCCTGCCTGGTCACAGCACAGAGTGGCATCCGTTCAGACCCTGCCTCCCTCTGCTGTCCACAATGGCAACTGGGCCTCTGTCTCCGGGTTTGTCCTGTCCTCCCACCTTTAGTTAGGGTCTCCAGGAGGCCGGGGCCTGCACCTCCACCTGGCAGAGGCAGAGGTCGTCTCTGTTCTCAGGCTCCCAGTTCCTGAGAAGAGGGCCGGTCTCTGACCCACCTCCAGCCCTGGTGTCTGGCCGGGCTGCTCCCTCGGTCAGACAGAATTGTGGGACAGACTGTGCCCCCCGCAGGTTCCTGTCCATGCTGGAGGAGGAGATCTACGGGGCGAACTCCCCGATCTGGGAGTCGGGCTTCACCATGCCGCCCTCGGAGGGGGCCCAGCTGGTGCCCCGGCCAGGTATGTGCCACAGCCGGTTTTACAAGACCTCCGCTCGGCCTTCCTGGCTGAGCTCGGATGCCCCCCGCCTGCCCCTCTCCCGTGGAAGAGGCGCTTCAAACAGCAGCCGTGGAGAAATGCGGGAGGGCTCAGCTGGGGGTTGGAGGGTCCAGATCCCTTTTTGGGACCCAACATCTTTGAACCACGGCTTTCCCCTCCCCTTCCCCCTCCCCCCGATCCTTCTGTCTCTCTCAGCTGCAGTGAGTGCAGCCGTTGTGCCCAGCGCCCCCATCTTCAGCCCCACCATGGGCGGGGGCAGCAGTAGCTCCTTGAGCCTGGATTCTGGAGGCGCTGAGCCCATGCCAGGTGCGTACCTGACCCTTGACGCCCACGCAGCCCTCCCCCAGTCTCTCTGCCCATCCCCGGGAGACCGTGCCGACCTCCCCAGCAGGTGAGAAGAGGAAGCTCCCAGAGAACCTGACGCTGGAGGACGCCAAGCGGCTCCGTGTGATGGGCGACATCCCCATGGAGCTGGTCAACGAGGTCATGCTCACCATCACCGACCCCGCCGCCATGCTGGGGCCCGAGGTGGGCGGCTGGCCTGCCGGCCGGCAGGGGCAGGGAGCGGCCCTCGTGGCCCCGAGACCCTCGCTCACTCCCCCTTTCCCGGTGCCCAGACGAGCCTGCTATCGGCCAACGCAGCCCGGGACGAGACGGCCCGCCTGGAGGAGCGCCGCGGCATCATCGAGTTCCACGTCATCGGCAACTCGCTGACCCCCAAGGCCAACCGGCGGGTGCTGCTCTGGCTCGTGGGGCTGCAGAACGTCTTCTCCCACCAGCTGCCACGCATGCCCAAGGAGTACATCGCCCGCCTCGTCTTTGACCCGTGCGTCCCCGGGAGAGCCCAGCCCCAGCACCACGTCCGGGCGCCTGCCTCGGCCCCCACGCCCCTCCCTCGGCCTCTCCCTCCACCTCTGGTTCCTCCTCCTCCTGGGTCCCCTCCTCCTCCTCCACGGCTATGGGGACTCGAGGAGCATTTGGGGGGCAGGTAGGGACCGTGACCTGTCCCCTCTCCCCTCAGGAAGCACAAGACTCTGGCCTTGATCAAGGACGGGCGCGTCATCGGCGGGATCTGCTTCCGCATGTTTCCCACCCAGGGCTTCACGGAGATTGTCTTCTGTGCTGTCACCTCAAATGAGCAGGTCAAGGTGGGTGCATGCTCCCAGCCCCTGCCCCTGCCCCATCCCACCACCTGCTTCTGATTCAGACCGGATCAGAGGAGAGGCTGACGTGGTGATGCAGCAGCCCCCAGCACTTCTTTTAGTGGCCAGACAGTTCCTCAGTTCACCACAAGGTGGCACTTGTTCCCTGATAACGGTGGAGTAAGAAAACAACCTGTCGCCCTAGCTCGCTCCCTGGGTGGGTGGAGTGCCAGCCCGAGCACGGGAGGGTCTCGGATTAGGGCACACTAGACTCCTGGGTTGCGGGCTCGTTCCTGCCCCTGTTCTGGGTGTGTGCGAGAGAGGCAACCAATCAATGTGTCTCTCACATCCATGCTTCTCTCCCCCGTCTCTGTCCCCCCCTCCCCTCTCCCTTCCACTCTCTAAAAAAAAATCAATGGGAAAAAAATCCTCACGGAGGATAAAAAAGAAAGGAAGAAAACACCTGTTGACAAATAGATCTTGAGAATTAGTCACACTTTTTTTAATCCTCCATCCGAGGATTTGTTTTTGTCCATTTGAGACGGGATCAAACCTGCAACCTAGGTATGAGCCCTGACTGGGAATCAAACCCTCCACCTTTCGGTGTGTGGGACGATGCTCCACCAACCGAGCCACCTGACCAGGGTGGAATCAGTAACACTTTTAAATGTCCCCGAGATGATGTCATCACAGGAATGTTTGCACACTGTGGGAGTTCCCTGTGTGGGAGCCCTGTGCTGGGTGAGAGTCCTGGCTTCCAGCCCCTCACGGCCACAGCAGCCCCACCAGCAGGGCCCCTGGTTCTCCGTCACGGACCCCAGCTCCGGGAGGTGCCTCCTCGGACCTGGCACGCGTGGGAGTCCGTGTCTCTTCAGGGCTCACGTGCAGCAGCAGGCAGGGCCCCTGGTATTCCCCATCTCCATTCGGAGGCCGGGGGCCAGGAACTAGTAGCCTGTGGACAGCAGCTTCCTGGTTGGGTTTGGCTCCTGGCCCTGCCGAGCCTGGAAGCCGGACCTTGGACAGATTTTCTCGTGGAGCTGAGTTTCAGTTTTCCTTCTGTAAGTTGGCCGCGGTGCCTGCCTCATGACTTAACTTGAGACGTGGTCACCTGACTCAGAGCAAGTGCCTGGAAACCAGGTGTCCTTCAGTTTTCTCGTTATAACCTCTCTTCCTCTCCTGGTTGCCTTTCCTGCTGCCTGCCCTAGACCCCGTGGTATCCCCTCCTCCTGTCCAGTCTGCTCCCTCCTCCCTGGCCCTTCCGAGTTCTGTCCGCACCAGGCCTGCCCCTCCCCCTGCTGAGCCCTGCTCCTGCCCGCAGGGCTATGGCACCCACCTGATGAACCACCTGAAGGAGTATCACATCAAACACAACATCCTCTACTTCCTCACGTACGCCGACGAGTATGCCATCGGCTACTTCAAAAAGCAGGTGACCCTCGCCTCCCCCGCCCCGCCCCGCCCCGCCCTTGCTGGCCGCCTGGGGCAGGCGTCCTTCTGTCTCCCTGGTGTGGGTGGACTGGGAGCCCTTCAGGCCCCTGTTCCATCAGGCACCCGCAGGGGCCTCCTTCCTGCCTTCTTCCTCCCTCCTGCGCCGCAGCTGTGAGTGGGACCGGGAGGGCAGCGGGGTGGCCGGCAGGACTGGGGGCTCCTGGGGGTTTGCTGGAAGGGGGCTGACCTGGAGTCCTTCCAGGGACAGATGGAGCTTTCCGAGTGCACAGCACTGTGCCCGAGGGGATTCGGGAACCGGAGAGAGGGGACTTGGCGTGCAGCTGCCCTGGGTGCTCCTGGGGGAGGGGCTGTTAAAATCGGAAAAGTGTTGCGATGGGAGGGGTCGTGTCGCCCACTCCCTAGGGCACATGTGTCAAACACAAGGCCCGCGGGCCAAATCCGTCCCGCCAGGCCTTGCAATGTGGCCCGCACCGCGCTGTCATCACTGCACTCCGCTGCGTTTCCATCACAATGACAGTTTATGACTGTTCAGTAAACCATTCGGCCTGCGATTTAGGCTGGATTTTAGATTTTGGCCCCTTCTCTGATTGAGTTCGACACCCCTACCCTAGGGCTTCTCCAAGGACATCAAGGTGCCCAAGAGCCGCTACGTGGGTTACATCAAGGACTACGAGGGGGCGACACTGATGGAGTGCGAGCTGAACCCCCGCATCCCCTACACGGAGCTCTCCCACATCATCAAGAAGCAGAAGGAGGTGGGGTGCTTTCTGTGGAACGTGCACGTGGGGGTGGGTGAGCACGTGTGTGGGATGAGCATGTGTACCCCAGGTCCACGCATGTGCATGCATGAGGGAGGGCCAGGATCTTGGTCCTTGCTGCGCCTCTTGGGAAAGTCAGGAGGAGAGGCACTTCTGACTGGCCTGGGAGGGAAGTGGCTGGCCCCTCACACCCCTCCTTCCTCAGATCATCAAGAAGCTGATTGAGCGCAAGCAGGCCCAGATCCGAAAGGTCTACCCCGGGCTCAGCTGCTTCAAGGAAGGTGTGAGGCAGATTCCCGTGGAGAGTGTCCCTGGCATTCGTAAGCGGGGCTCTGGGGCGGGAGGGCGCGCCGCCCGGCGTGCGGCCGGCGTTCTGAGGGATGTCTCCGCACGCCCCGCTTTGCAGGAGAGACGGGCTGGAAGCCGCTGGGGAAGGAGAAGGGGTGAGTGTTGTGCGGAGGGACAGGGCGTTGGGGGAGGCAGGGGGACCGGGAGCCTCAGACTTGACCTCTATCGCCCCAGGAAGGAGCTGAAGGACCCTGACCAGCTCTATACCACCCTCAAAAACCTGCTGGCCCAGATCAAGGTGCGGAGACCAGGCCCGCCCCCGGGCGCCCTGTGCCAGGGGCTCTGTGACCCGTGTGGGTGGGCGACAGTCACGAGCTGGGCGTGGGCCTCAGGGGTCCTGGTCCCAGCTCAGCTCCCCTCTCTAGTCACACCCCAGTGCCTGGCCCTTCATGGAGCCCGTGAAGAAGTCCGAGGCCCCCGACTACTACGAGGTCATCCGCTTCCCCATCGGTGAGGATGCTCCTTCCTCCCATTCCGCCCGCCAACCCTGCTCCTGCCTTCCCCGGCCACGCGGCCCCCGTGACCTGCCCTTGTCCCGCCGCCCAGACCTGAAGACCATGACGGAGCGGCTGCGCAGCCGCTACTACGTGACCCGGAAGCTCTTCGTGGCGGACCTGCAGCGGGTCATCGCCAACTGCCGCGAGTACAACCCCCCGGACAGCGAGTACTGCCGCTGCGCCAGCGCCCTGGAGAAGTTCTTCTACTTCAAGCTCAAGGAGGGGGGGCTCATCGACAAGTAGGCCGGCCTGGACCTCAGCCTCGGCCCTGACTGTCACCACCTCAGGCTCCGATCCGATCGCTGGGGAGGCCCTGGCGCCCAGGCCCCTCTCAGCCTGAGACACTCCAGCCCTGACCCTGCAGTCCTCTCTGGGCCCTTGGGCACCCCCAAGCCTGCAGCCCTGGGAGGGGTCTCCTGGGTGCGGGCTCGGAGCCTCTGCAGTGGCCGGTGGCCAGAGCGTATACCCTGCCCAGCTCTGGTGGCTCTGAGCCCCGGTCCCCACAGAGCAGTGGTGTCTCACTGCAGTCCTGGGCCTGGCCCAGCCACGGTCTCCTCACGGAGACCATTTTAGCTTGAACGAGGGCTCCAGGGTTTGGAAATGCCACCCAGATTGGAGAGGCCAGGCCTTGCCCTGCACTGTTGTGTTCTGTCTGTCCCCAGGGGCGGGGGACGTGGGGACCATCTGTTTCCTGGCATTAATCCCTCAGAGGGATCAATAAAGCTCTTTTGTTTTTATCTCTGTGTGTGATTGTCTCTTCAGTAGCATCCCAGGCCTCAGCAGGCTGACCTGTTCCTGCCGGCACCTCCTGCAAGGGAGCCCGTTGAGCCCAGGCTGTGCTGAGGACCCTCCCCTGCAGGCCTCACGCCTGGTCCCGGGCCCCGGGCCCGCCTGGCCGCAGCCTCCACTCTCCCTGCTCCTGGCTGATCCTGGCCCAGGTGCCTGGACGGCGGGTCCTGGCCTCCTCGGCTGCCTTTGCCTGAGTGACATGGGTACAGCTGACTCCACAGGAGTGGGAGGGGGTGGCCGGCAGGACCCGTGTTGTGAATGGTGCTTTCCTGTCAGCAGCATTTCTTCCTCAGCCTGAGGCCGGTGAGGAAGAGAAGGCAAAGCTGAGCTCCAGGCAGCTGGGCTGGCTCCGCCCCTCAGTTTCAGTTTCCTTTTCTGTCGGCCGAGCTCAGCAGCAGGCATCCGGTTCAGAGCAGGGCTGCCCTTGGCAGTGCGGGTGTAAGGTGAGGCTGGGCAGAGCTCTGTCTTACTCCTGCCCCCCTTGGCCAGATCAGGCTCCTGGTGGGTTCCCTGTCCCACCTCCTCCAAGCAGGATGGAGTCTTAGGTTAAGGGAGGTCTCTGCACCAGACTGGGTTGGCTGGGAGCCCACAGGGGGCAGATCTGATGGGGTTGAGCTGAGTCGGGGGCCAGGAGGGCCAGGGGTCTGAGTCCCCTGCCATTCCCAGAATGGAGCTGCGATCCTACCAGTGGGAGGTGGTCATGCCTGCCCTGGAGGGCAAGAATATCATCATATGGCTGCCCACGGGCGCTGGGAAGACCAGGGCGGCCGCCTATGTGGCCAAAAGGCATCTTGAGACCATGGATAGAGCCAAGGTCATTGTACTGGTCAACAGGGTAAGTGGCCTGCCCCTCCCACCCCCCTCCGTGGGCTCTCAGCTCCTCGGTGCCTCTCAAGACCCTTCTGTGGCCATCTCTCACCACCTTTTCACTCATCCCAGCCGCGGCCTCCACCCAGACCCCGCTTCCTCTCCCCATCTCCCCCGCACCCAGGTACACCTGGTGGCCCAGCATTATGAGGAGTTCAAGCGAATGCTGGATGGGCGCTGGGCCATTGCAACCCTGAGTGGGGACATGGGGCTGCGCCCCGGCTTTGGACACGTGGCCCGGAGCAATGACCTGCTCATCTGCACAGCTGAGCTGCTGCAGCTGGCCCTGAGCAGCCCCGAGGAGGACGAGCACGTGGAGCTCAATGGTGAGAGCTGGGCGCGCCCGAGGCACCCCTGCCTGCCACCCCCAGGGCCCCTCTTCTGGCAAAGATGGGGGATTTCGTGGGAGCGAGGGCTTCCCTGTTCACCAAACCCCGGCTTGCACCCTAGTAGAAAAAGGCCTGGCTCTGGTGCAGGGTCTTGGGCAAGTTCCTTTCTCCAGCTTGAGCCTCAGGTTATTAGTCTGTAGAATGAAGGGAAATCATTCCTGACTGCCCGTTTTCTGGGGTCCGGCTGCAAATTGTGAAGGGAGGAAGGAATTCCCGGGTGAATTCTGGGAAGTACATGAAACAAAGCCTATGGGACGAAGGGCTTTGCAAGCAGAAGTTCTTTCCCACGTGCCCCCAGCCTTCTCTCTCCTCGTGGTGGATGAGTGCCACCACACGCACAAAGACACCGTCTACAACGTCATCCTGAGCCGGTATCTGCAGCACAAACTCCAGGGGACGAGGCCCCTGCCCCAGGTGCTGGGCCTCACGGCCTCCCCGGGCACTGGCAGGGCCACCAAGCTCGATGGAGCCATTGACCACATCTTGCAGGTCAGCTTGGCCCCTGTGACCTCCCCTCACCTGACTCACCAGGGACCTCCTGGCCTGTCCTACCCCCTGCCCACCGGTCCCAGGCCGGCTCACCCAGGCAGGCAGGGTCGGATCCCTTCCTCACCCAACTCCCAGCCTCCAAAGGCTTCTTAGTGCACCTGGAATAAACACTCCACTCTGGCTTAGAGGTTCCCTGGGACTCAGCCCCAGCTTAAGTCTCCAACCTCATCCCCGCCCCTTCTCCCCGCCCCCTCCCCTGTTCTCCCCCTCCTGCTCGACTGGCCTTCTCTCTGCAGCTTGAGCATGTCGGGCTTGTTCCCATCACAGGACTCTTGCACTTGCCCTTCCTTCTGCCCGAATACCCTTCCCCCGTACTTACCTGTCTGCCCCCTTCTTGTCACTCAGGGAACAACGTAAATGTCACGCCTTCAAAGCCTTCCCCAATCACCCCCACTGCACTCGCCACATCGTTCCATTTTACTCTCTTCGGAGCCTGTTAACACTGTCCGCTATCCTCTCATTCTGTTGTCCTTTACTGGTTTACCATTTTTTTTTTACAGTAAAATCTGTCTCCCCAACCGCCATCTAAGGCGCTCTGTACCCCCAGTACCTGGAACAGCGCTGGGCAAGCAATAAATATTTATCGAATAAATGAATCCCCGCCCCCAATGGCCCTACCTCAGCTGGGACCCATCCTGCCCCAAAGCTCTGCCCATTGTCCCCACAGAACACCCCCGCCCCCCCCCCATTCCAGTGAACCCTCTCTGTTGCCCAGCTTTGTGCCAACCTAGACACGTGGCGGATCATGTCACCCCAGACCCACCTCCCCGAGCTGCAGGAGCACAACCGCCTGCCCTGCAAACAGTACGACCTCTGCCACAGGCGCAGCCAGGTGTGTGGAGGGGGTGGGAGGGGGGCGTGGGCGGGGCGGGAGTGCAATTGGGCCACACGGGACTGAGCCTTGACTCTGCTCTCAGGAGAGCTGTTACATCACTTCTCACTTCGCTTGCTTATGTTCCTGAGCCTCCATTTCTTCTTTCTGTGAAACGGGGCCCATCCTCCTGTTGGACATCTGTCAAAACCCTGGGCATGCACGCAGCGGAGCGCTTTGCAAACCACACAGCTGGGGCACTTTGTGCTGAGGGTGTTCCAGGCTCTTCCCTGCGGTGTGGACACGGCCTGGTGTCTGCTGTGACAGGCTGGATAGGGACTACCATCCCTGTGCTCAGGCCGGAGGTCACGGCCATCTATGGGGTGGAGGCAGAGCAGGAGTCAGGGGCGGGAACCTGACCCCGCCTCCAGCCAGGCCTCTGTCACACCATGGCGGCACGGGAACTCCTTCACGCCCTCCCTCTGCTCATAGGACCCGTTTGGGGACATGCTGAAGAAGCTCATGCAACAAGTACAGGACCGCCTGGAGATGCCTGAGCTGAGCCAGGACTTCGGGACGCAGACGTATGAGCAGCAGGTGGTGGAGCTGAGCAAGACCGGTGAGGAGGCCCGGAAAGGCCACGCCCTCAGAGGGCGGGACCAGCCTCTGGGGCGGGGCCTAGGCGGGAACGGAGCCGGGGGCGGGGCCAACCTCTAGGGGCGGGGCCTCGGCGGGAGTGGAGCCTGGGGGCGGGCCGCTCAGATCCGGGTCCCCTGTGGGTGCAGCGGCGGAGGCCGGGCTCCAGGAGCGGCGCGCCCATGCGCTCCACCTGCGGCGCTACAACGACGCGCTGCTCATCCACGACACGGTGCGCGCCGTGGACGCGCTGGCCACGCTGCGCCAGTTCTACGACTGGGAGCGAGCCACCAAGACGCAGGTGCTGCGGGCGGAGCGCTGGCTGCTGGCTCTGTTCGACGGTGAGGCTCCCGGGGACCAGGGGGTGGGAACTGGGCTAGCGGTCAGTGGCCAGCTGGGCCCGGGGCTGGCTACAGCAAGCTGGGAAGGTGCTGACAAGAGTTCCGGGTTTCCAACCAAAAGTCAAGGCTGTGGATAGGACAAAAGAGGGATGTGCTCATTTATGAAGGTTTCCGTAGATGTAAAAACTAGTTTACGTTATTGACTTTTTTGTTTGTTTTAGTATTTTATTTTAATTTTTAAATATATTTTATTGATTTTTTACAGTTAGGAAGGGAGAGGGATAGAGAGTTAGAAACATCCACGAGAGAGAAACATCGATCAACTGCCTCCTGCACACCTACTGGGGATGTGCCCACAACCAAGGTACATGCCCTTGACCGGAATCAAACCTGGGACCCTTCATTCCGCAGGCCGACGCTCTATCCACTGAGCCAAACCGGTTAGGGCAACAAATATTTTTTGAAAATCATTTCATGGGACTCTTCCCTGAAAGTTGGGGAAATGAGATGGTCAGAGGGTGAATTTAAGACTAGAGGCCTCAGCACAGGCCGAGGGGCGAGGGTCTTTCTGAACAGACCTGAGGTTGAGTCAGTCCTGGGTTACATGAAAAGGTCAAGGGTCATCCTGGCAGCAGGGTTGAAGAGGGTGCTGCATAAGGTGTGTGAGTGCCTACCAGGGGTCCTCAAACTTTTTAAAGTGGGGGCCAGATCATGGTCCCTCAGAGAGCTGGAGGGCCGGACTATATGAATGATTAATTCCTACTGTAACACCTCGGCTGCGCTCACTGCCCAAAAAACCTGGCGGGCCGGATCAGACTCCTCTGCGGGCCGCATGTGGCCCGCGGGCCGTAGTTTGAAGACCCCTGGTAGACTGTACCCCGGGTAGAAGGCTGGCTGGCCTTGAGGCTGGGCAGGCGGAGGGTGTCCTTACCTGTGTTCTTGGTGCAGCGCAGATGCAATCAGGCAGGAGCAGGTAAGGCCAGGCCCCCTCTGGATTCCTGCAATCTCACACCTGTGAGCCACGCACCCTCATATCCCGCCCACCTCCTGGCCTGAGTCCCGTGCCTCTGACTTTTGGGCTTTTCTGGCAGACCACAAGAATGAGCTGGCCCGCCTGGCAACGCGTGGCCCGGAGAACCCCAAACTGGAGATGCTGGAGCAGATCCTGCAGGATCAGTTTGGGGGTCCCGGCAGCCCCCGCGGCATCATCTTCACCCGCACCCGCCAGAGCGCGCACTCCCTCCTGCTCTGGCTCCGGCAGCAGCCGGGTCTGCGGACGGTGGACATCAGGGCCGAGCTGCTGATCGGGGCCGGGAGCAGCAGCCAGAGCGCCCATATGACCCAGGTGTGGGCTCGGGGGAAGGGAGCTGAGGCTGGGGGCCTCCCGAGGGGAGGAAAGAAGGGGAGTCTTCAGCACAGATTGATGGGGGCGGGGGGCGGGCTGAGGAGGGAGATGGACACTGAGCTCCCAGGGGCTGAAGGTTTTCCCATTCTGCGGGTCTCTCGGGGGCAGAGAGGCAGAAACAAGGGGGTCTGCAGGGGTAGAGGTGAGTGATGTCTCAGGACAGAGGAGAGGGGATCCGGGTCCCTTGGAGAAGAATAGGTCCTGGGAGCTCCTGTGTGCAGGGGCAGGGACCCGTAGGAGTCCCCAGGGGAGAGAGGGGTTAGATGCTCACCTGGAAAAGTGGGCAAGATCCTGAGGGGGGACTTGGAGGTAGAGATGGAGACTCAGGGCCCCCCAGAAAAGGGGCCAAGATTTTGAATAAAAGGGCTAACCCAGGAGAGGCTGGGCTTGCAAGAGAGTAGGCCTGAAGCCACCTCATATACCATCCTCTTTCTCCCCCCGCCTACCCCCCTCCAGAAGGAACAGCAAGAAGTGATCCGTAAGTTCCGGGATGGGACCCTGAACCTCCTGATGGCCACGAGCGTGGCGGAAGAGGGCCTGGACATCCCCCAGTGCAACGTGATTGTGCGCTACGGGCTCCTGACCAACGAGATCTCCATGGTCCAGGTGCCCAGACCACCCCCTCAGCGTCCTCCAAGCATCCTGCGTGGGGACCCAGCCCCGCTCAGGCCCCTGTCCTCCCTCCCCAGGCAAGGGGCCGTGCCCGGGCCGATCAGAGCGTGTACTCCTTCGTGGCCACCCAGGGCAGCCGGGAGCTGCGGCGGGAGCAGACCAACGAGGTCCTCGAGGCTCTGATGGAGCGGGCGGTGGCTGCGGTGCAGCAGATGGACCGGGCCGAGTACCAGGCCAAGGTCCGCGGGCGGCCTGTGCGGCCTGCGGGGAGGGGAGCTGTGGGCGTTTTGTGGTCTCTGAGGCGCACACATTCACACCCCTGTGCCCGCTTCCTCTGGGGGCTGCGTGGCCCAGGATCCGGGAGGGGCAGAGGCCGAGGCTGGGGCTGCCAGGAAGGCAACGGCTCTTTCTCCAAAATGCCTCGGGAACAGGCCTGGTCCAGGGCTTTTACTTTACCTCCCCCCCTCAGTGCTTTGTGCATCTGTGAGAGCCGCCTCCAGCCCTCCCAGAGCCAGGCAGAGGGGGGGCCATCAAAGACACCCACAAAGTAAGCCCCGAACCAGGACCTACAGCGTCCCCTGAGGGGGGTCACCGTTGTCCAGCCTCGCAGGGCACAGTCCCTGTTTACGCCTGTTGTCCCGGCAGAATTACCCATGTGCCTCCTGTTAGATCCAAAGAAGCAGCTTTACAGGAACACCTCCGAAGGGAGTGAGGACTCAATGAGAGAGCTTACCTCGCTCCCTGCGCGGCCCCCCAACCCAGTAGTATTTTCCCCTCCGAGCAGCTTCCGAAAGCTCCCGGGAGGCTGAGGAGAGTCCCCCTGGGTACCAGCCATCGCTCTGAGGTCCTTAGAGGATTTCTGAGATCAGGTCTCCTGGGCCCCAGCCATGCCCGGTGTCACCTCCCCCCCGCCCCCCCCAGATCCGGGACCTGCAGCGGGAAGCCCTGGTCAGGCGGGCGGCCCAGGCGGCCCAGAAGCAGACCCGGCAGCAGCAGTTCCCGGCCGAGCAAGTGCAGCTCCTCTGCATCAACTGCATGGTGGCCGTGGGCCACGGGAGCGACCTGCGGAAGGTGGAGGGCACCCACCACGTCAACGTGAACCCCAACTTCTCGTGAGGCCTGTGGGAGGGGCTGCCTGGATGAGAGGAAGCGGGGGGTGCAGTGAGAGTTCGGGGCGGGGGGAGGTGTTGAAGAGCATTTGAACAAGTACCACGTTTGCCGGTTTTGTCACCGCCCCGTTTCACAGGTGAGAAAACAGAGGCCCCGAGAGCCTCAGCGACATGCCCAAGCTCCCGCAGCCACTCTGTGGTTGAGCAGGAGCTGGCATTCAGGATGCCAAACGCTGGGGGGCCGCACAGTGGCCCCTGGTCCTACGTATTCTGAAGACATCACGAGGGGCGGGGGTCCCTGAGCCAACCCCTCATCCTCCGCCCCCTAGAGGGTAGCTTTCCGCATCCTCCATTTGTTCATTGGTTAAGGAAGTATTCATTAGGCGCCTACTGTGTGCCAGCCCACTGTGCCCATGGCCTTCTCACGCGGGTGGTGCTGAGGCCTGGACTTGGGCAGAGGGAGTGGGATGGAGGCAGCACTGCCCGAGCTCGCTGAGGTCTCTGTGCTTCTTGACAGGCAGGGAGGCCCAGGGCCCTGCAGAGGCTCAGCAGAAAGGATGGCGAGCCGTCTGGGCTGGGGGTCCCTGAGGCCTGAGGCCACTCCCGTTTCTCTCTAGGATCTACTACAACGTCTCTGAGAAGCCCGTGGCTATCGACAGAGTCTTCAAGGACTGGGTGCCCGGGGGCGTCGTTAGCTGCAGGAACTGTGGGGAAGTAAGTGCGGGCAGCCCTCCTCAGCTCCGTCTTTAGAAGTCCTGATTCTGAAGGCTCAGCCTCTGCCCCCAGGGTGCCCTCCCTGGGAAGGGGGAGACAGCCCTGCCCCAGGAGCCCCCAGTCTGAAGAGAGTGGTCCAACCCCTATCTTAGGGAGCCCACAGTGTGAGGAGGGAGGCGGCTCTGTCCGAGGTGGGAGACATAAGCCCCGCGTCCAGAGGCTCTGACTTGAGGAGAGAAGCCCAGCCAGGGGATAGACGCCCAAACCCTCCCGTCTCTGTCCCACCGCCAGCTCTGGGGTCTGCAGATGATCTACAAGTCCGTGAAGCTGCCGGCGCTCAAAGTCCGCGCCATGCTGCTGCACACCCCGCGCGGGCGGATCCAGGCCAAGAAGTGGTCCTCCGTGCCCTTCCCGGTGCCTGACTTCGACTACGTGCAGCACTGTGCCCAGGCCCTGTCCGACCTCTCCCTGAACTGAGCATCTTGTCGCTGCAGTACTTAGATCAGGCTGTAGGGGGCGCGAGAATCCGCAGCAGCAGCAGCAGCAACAACAGCATCTTCCCTGAACCAAGTCGGTGCAGATCCCTCCGTGCCGGGAGTCACCAGCTCAGGGGCTTGCTGACCAGCCACAGAGAAATCCCAGGGGCCCAGACTGACTTCAACTTCCACATTAAGGAAGCAGCTGAAGGGCCACAGCTCAGCCCCTGGCCCCCCTGACACCCACACAGACACTTCTACACACTGGATGGCATGGGGGGGGAGGGGTAAGAACTGAGGCAGAATGGCCACACTGTACAGTGGTGCCCCCTTACCCATGCTTTCGTTTTTTGTAGTTTGTTACTCCCCATTAACTGCGGTCCAAAAATATTAAATGGAAAATTCCCAAAATAAATGATTTTTATGTTTTAAATTGTGCACCATTCTGAGTAGCGTGATATAATTTCGCACCATCCTGCTTGGTCCCGCCTGGGACATGAGCCGTCCCTTTGTCCAGTGTCCCCATGCATGTCCGGTGTATATGCTATCGGCCTGGCGGTCACTTAGCTGTCTGGGTCGCCAGGTCATCTGTCCAGGTTTCAGAGTGCTTGTGTTGGAATAACCCTGAGAGTGGCCTAACACCAATCAGCATGCCGACGTCATTACCCTCCCTGGATCTCCTCACACACACCTAGAATCATCTCCGATCACAAGAAGGGGAGTATATACGGTAAGCTATATTTTGAGAGAGACTACATTTACATAGCTTATTACAGCATGTGTTACAATTGTTCTGTTATTGGTTGTTAATCTCTTACTGTGCCTAATTTGTAAATTAAACTTTACCACAGGTATGTATGTATGTATGTATAGGACAATGCATAGTGTATGTAGGGTTTGGTGCTCTCTGTGGTTTCAGGCATCCCCTGGGGATCTTGGAACATATCCTCCGTGAATAAGGGGACGACTATACTAGGAATCACTGGTTTCCCTTAGCCCTTTGACGTCCCTTTTTTTTGAAGCTCCCCATAAATAAATAAAAAAAAAAAAAAAAGCCGAAACCGGTTTGGTTCAGTGGATAGAGTGTTGGCTTGTGGACTGAAAGGTCCCAGGTTTGATTCCGGTCAAGGGCATGTACATGTGTTGTGGGCACATCCCCAGTTGGGGGTGTGCAGGAGGCAGTTGATTGATATTTCTCTCTCATCAATGTTTCTATTTGTTGCTCTCTCTTCCTCTCTGTGAAAAATCAATAAAATATATTTTTTTAAAATAAAAATAAAAAAATAGAAAAATGGTGTCGAAAATATGTAGTATTTTTTAAAATATATTTTTATTAATTTCAGAGAGGAAGGGAGAGGGAGAGGGGGAGGGGGAGAGAGAGAATGAGAATCACTGATTGGCTGCCTCCTGCACATCACACTGGGGAGCAAGCCTGCAATCCGGGCCTGTGCCCCGACCAGGAATCAAGCCATGACCTCCTGGTTCATAGGTCAATGCTCAACCACTGAGCCATGCTGGCTGGGAAAATGTGTAGTATTTTAAAATCACACTTGTTGAGGCAGAATTGACAAACTACATATGTGTGGTGTTTGACTGACACATGTTAATGTGTGTATGCTCTTCCACAATCAAGATAATTGAGCACATTAAAATCCCTCTCCTCGAGCCCATTAAAATCCCTCCCCCTCACTTCCCATCCACAATCAGCTTGGTGGTATGTTTTGGAGGTTAAAAGTGTTTTGTTTTTTTAAACACCCCTCTTTTTGGTCATCATGTAACCTTATTTGGAGAGAGCATCAGAAGTCTAAATGTGAGAGCCATCGAAAATGTGAGGCCTTCCTGGCCCCTCCCCCACATGAAAGCGTCTAACCCCAAGGCCCCATCTCCCCCGAGCCCCCAGGTCATCTCCCCTGGGCTGGCAGAGGCCCAAAGGATTGGAGGGGTAGGCACGGGGGTGGGGCAAGTCATAAAGGCCTACATTTCCTGTTCTCATTTTAACAAGAAGCAAAGGAAGGCAAGATCTAGGTTGATTCTTCAGGGAAAGGGCTATTTCTGTAGTAAGAGGCCCAGCAGGCAGGAGTCACCTTCAGGAGGAAGGGAGGGGGGCGAGGGCAGAGACTTGAGGTTTGGGAGCAGCAGGCAGTTCTTCCTGCCATCTACCCTCTCCTACTCCATCCTTGGTCCCATCTCAGGGTAGATTAAAAAAAAAAAAAAAAAAGATCGCTCTCTCTTCCCAGTATCTTCCCTCTTCAGCCCCCCTCTTCTCTGGTTGAGAGCTAAAAGCCCGGTGCTAGGCTCTTTGGTTCCCAGCCCCCTAAGAGAGTGTCCCCTTCCCTCCCAGCGCCCTTCTTCCTTAGGCTGTGGCTCCCAGAGTCACCCTTCTCCTCCCGTCCCATCGCCACCTCCTTGGTCCCTCCTGCCCATCCGCTCCCGCTTCACCTTCAGTTGTCATCGCCGCGGCCAGCAGCGTGCCTGTTACAGGTCAATAAAATTAGCGGCCGGGGAGCAGAGGCAGGGGGAGGGCCCGGGGGTGCTAAGCTCGATGGCCTTGGACGCAGCTGGACGCACGGAGCCCGGACGCCTGTCATTCCAGGGCTGAGCAGTGACAGCTGAGGGAACTGCGCTGGCGCTGGAGTTGGGGGGGGGGGGGGGGGAGGGAAACGTGCTGTTGCAGGGAGAGATGGGCTGAGGATACAGATGCCCAGGGCACCTAACGGTCCCCTCAGGGGCCTGAGCCCCTGGATGGGGGACCCCGATTTGGAGGGAGCGTCCATCGCGCGCCCACCTTACCCCGGAGAGAGCCTTCTGGAGCTCAGTTGGAAGGGGGAACTCGGGCAAGGAGGGGTTCCCGGGCTTGCTTCTTCGTGGGAGGGGTCTTCCTGGGGAGCCACCGCCTCCAGGGCAAGGCTGCCTGAGGGAGGGGGAGTCCCGTGGTCCCCAGGACCCAGGCATCCTCACTTCTCAGCCCTCAGAGCAGCCAGGGCTCCGGGCCTCCCTCGTGGCTCCTCCTCCCTCCTCCCCTGAATAAGCCGGTCCACCCACCGGCTGGAGACTCAGGGAGGGGCTCCCCCTCCCAGGCCCCGCCCCGTCCCGCCCCGCCCGCCCCGCCTGCCCGGAGCGCTGCGCTCGGAGCGCGGAGAGCAGGTGGCCGCGGCTCCGCTCTGCCCCGCAGGTAAGTCCGCGGCGCGGGCTGGGGACCCCGAGGCCAACACGGGGGCACAAGGCAGCCCCTGACCTCTGTCCGGCGCCCTTGTCCCAACACGGGGGACCCCAAGGGGACCGCGAGGACACCCCTATCCGCTCCGGGCTCCGACGCGCTGCCTCTAGCGGGTGGCGCTCAACTCCGGGGAAGTTTAGAGGCTCCTGGGCTGCTCATCCCCGAGGCCAGGGCCGCCGGCGAGGGATGCGGGAAGGCAGAGCCGGGCAGTGGGCACACAGCCTTCTGGAGCAGAGCAGGAAGGTGCTGGGGATGGCGGAGCTCCGGGTGAGGAACCTCTGACTGGCGTGCCCCATGCATGCCTCACCCGGGGCAGCATGCTATCGCCCCCACTCAGAGAGCGAGGGGGTGACCCAGATGGCTCCTGTCCTTTGTGCGAATGCGGTAGGAGCCGGTGCACACAGCGCACAGCGCACAGCACAGCTGAGCTGGGTTTTCGGAGGAGATCCAGGCACCTGCGCCACTTAATTGCACCCGGGTGCAGATATGCTGGGTAAGGGGTGAGGGGTGAGGGGTGAGGGAGCAGGGGTCGTCCGGATTGCCTGAGGGACCTAGGGGCTTGGGGACGGATTAGATTTTTTTCTGTGTCCATGTCCCAGAGCCAGGGCGGGGAGGTGATCCCAGAACTGGCCCTTCCCGCCGACACGGGGAGCGTTTGCACCCTCCGTGGGATCTGGGCTGAAGGAGAGGGATCCTGCCTGTCAGCACCTCACGGAAGGCTTCCTGGAAGAAGAGGCCCTGAGCTGACAGCTCAGATGTGATGCTCAGAGCCACCAAGGGGAGTTGGACGTTGGGCCTGGGTGCTGGGGTTGGGGTCGAGCAGAGGACGCCGAGCTGTAGACCAGAGGCGGGTCAGGGTGCTGCCACGGATCCAGCCAGGGCCCCGGGACTGTCCAAGCCCTGAGGCAGGCCACATCCAAGCCTAAGTGGGCGGGCTTCCTGGGTCTAATCTCCCTGTTCCACTGTCTCCTCCCACCCACCGCCCACGGTCACTGTCAGAAAGTTCTCCCTCACGTCCGACCTTCATCCCTTCGGCTGCTGGGCCAGCGTCTTGCTTCTGGGAGGCGCTGTGGGAACAGTGGGGGCCTGGGGGTCAGTTAGGCCTGATGGAATTCTGCCACCTCTACCGGCTGTGTGCAGGTCACTCAGCCTCTTTGCGATCACTTCCCACCTGTAAAATGGGGATAATAATAGAACCCGCCTCATGGGGAGGCTGCGAGGATTAAGTGAGAATATGCTTAGCACAGTGCCTGGCGCCTGGGGAGGGCTCAGCCGGCGTCAGTGTCCCCTCGGGCGTAGGACAGCAAAGCCGATCGGCAGGGGGTGGGGGTGAAGGTTTTTTTTAAAACTTGGCCAGCGAGAGCCATGCCCTTCATCACCATCGTTCCGCCAGCCCACACTCCTGCTGGCTCCTGCGTCTCTTCTGGGCCCGTGGGGGCTGCCCGGGACCCCTCCCCTCCTCATCTCTTAGCCGCCCTGCCTTTGTCTCCAGACTCAGGGGAGGGACCCAGCAGGGCAGGGCCAGGGGCTGCAGGAGCCCACTTCGGAGCACCCTGGCTGACACCCAACTGGAAAAATGCCCCCTGTCGTCGCCTCCCCGCCCTCCCCACCTCCAGAAGCCCGCATGTTGGGATCAAGCTGCACTTTCTCCGGGAAAATAAATAATATAACTTTCTGAAAGTTCTGCCTGGGGACCGTCCAGGCAGCCCTCCCTGGACAGAGGTCTGGAAGGGTGGGGAATGGTGGATCCAGTAAGCACCGTTAACCCCAGGCAAGGGAGGGGTGCCCATGCCCTAACTGGGCACTTCCCTGGCCACAGCCTTCCCTGTGGGGTGAGGAACCAGCAGGGCCCAGGGGACAAACCTGTTCACCCCCTTCGAGACCACAGTCCCCATACCCGTGACTCTGGAGGCCCCTGCACAGACGGTCAGTTTGCTCCCCACCCACCCAGCCTCGGCCCTGGGCCTGTTCTCAGGGCAGGCTATGCCAGTAGGTGTGCCTCACAGCCCTGAGGGACCAGTGGGGACAGCCACGGGACGGCTGTTTGCAGGGCATGGAGATGGAGCTAGCTGTAGAGTGGGGTGTCCACACACACACACACACACACACACACACACACTGCCTGGGAGGCCCTGTAGGGCAGAGGAGCCAGCAGCGGGAGGGGAGGGATGGCTGGGGCTGGCGTGGGAGGGCAGCTGTCTCTCCCTCCACTGCATCATCCTCCCGCAAAACCCCCGGAGTCAGCAAGTCCAAAAGGGAGCCTAGTTTTCCACGTCATTAGGAAAACATATTTGCATGAACAGGTTGTTTGCCTGATTTATAACTTTTAAATATTTAGACATGCGGATATGGGGCTTAGGATACACCTTCCCTGGACCAGAAAGGGGTTTGAAGGTGGAATGAAGACTGTCAGCTGTCACCAACGAGCAGTCCCCCCCATGGGCCTCCTGACCTCATTCTCCACCCAAAATTGGGACAATTTTTTTTTTCCTCCTAATGTCCTGTGATGCGTCAGAGGGAAAAGATGAGCAGGAGAGGGGTTGCTTATCTCCGGAGTGTGGGGAGGGCGTGGGCACTCCCTGGTCCCAAGGAGCCAGGAGGGAGCTAAACGAGGCCACGGCAACGGGAGGAATGGAAGTTAGACTTGGGGGAGATCAGGGCTGGATCCCCCATTCCTCCAGCTGCCTTTTCCGAGGGAGCCGGGCCTGTGGCCAGGGAGGGGGCCGTGTATCTGTCATGTGGGTCCTCCCGTACGTTTGCATCTTGGGCTTCCGTGGGGAAGAACGTGGGGGCAAGCTGGCCAGGCGGTGGGAGTCCTTCCTGGAGGGAACGAATGGCCTGTTGGTCTTGGACTGTGGTCGAGGGCCCCGTGGCACCTGGACACCCGTCTGTTCAGAGGAGAGAGGCGTGCGGCCTTTTTGTGGCCGCCTCTGACTCACTCCTTTCCCGTCGGGCTGTTTGAGGATCGTACCTGCCGCCTTGGCCTCATTAGGGCTGGGACGTGCTTCCTGGACCCGGACACACACACATCGAAACGTGCACACGCGCAGCACTCACACACGCACACAGGTTTGCCCGCCACCTACACTCGCACACGTGGCTGTACACGCTGCCCAGCCCTAACCACCGCTTCACGTGCGGTCTTGGGAACGGAGCCCCCGCAGACCCGCCCTGCACATGCGCTTTGCAGACTCTGGAGCCTTTGCCACCTTCGCAGGCTCAGGTTCCCCCCTGGTGACTTTCCCTTCACCTCGGGTGACCCGCCAGCTCCAGTGGTCAGGGCCCAGGTGCCCGCGGGGTTCAGTGTTGGGGACAGAAGGGACGCCCTGCAAATCCCAGCCAGGCTCCGTGTTTGGCACCTCTGCTCCCCCAAGAGGGTGTCTGGGGGGCTGCCTTCTCCCGGCCCCTCTGTTCCCGGGCAGCTCTGAGCCGCTCTGCCTCGGCCTGCGCCTCCGCTGCGCTCCAGGCTCGGTCCTTCCCCTGCTCCCATGCCTGTCACTCTGTCTCTCCTCTCTCCCTGCCTCGGAGTCTCTGTTTTTCTGTGTGTCTCTCATCCTTTCTCTCTGTGTGTATGTCTCTGCCTGCCTGTCTGCCTCTCTCTGATTTTCTGTGTGTGTTTCTGCATCGCCCTCTCTCTCTCTCTCTCTCTCTCTCTCTCTCTCACACACACACACACACACACACACACACATTCTCACTCCCTCCTGTCTCTCAGCTCTGTCTGATGGTGTGGCGCCTTTCCGTGTCCATATTTTTGTCTTTACCTCTCTCCACCTCTGCCTCTGAGTCTGGGTGTCTCTCTCCCTGTCTGACCCTCGTGAGTCTTCCTCTGATGCCAGCCGCAGCCACACAAGCAGGGGAATGGGACAGCCACGTGTCTGAGGGCAGAAGAAGGTGGCCAAGCACCCAGGGGAGGGGCCGCATCATTCTGGGCCCCCCGGTGCCTGGCCAGGGAGGCTGCAGGCCTGGAGAGGCCTGATGCTGGTCCATCCCCCAGCTCCTCTGCCGAGAACTTGAGATCGTGCGGGCTTTGGCTCCAGACTCTGAAATGTCCTTCTTCAGTGACAAGGCCCAGGGACGTGAGGCCGGAGCAGGGCTGGGGCTCCGGGGTGACAGGGGGAGAACCCCTGTGAGGCTGGCTGATCGGATTGACTTGGAGCCGGGGGAAGGGGGTTGGAACGTGGAGTCCCAGCAGAAGGGGTGTTGACCGGAGTGGGGCTGAATCGACACTTTTCTTTTTCCTCGAAGCAGCCAAGCTCGACGCGCCCACCCCAGGCCCCAGCTTCCTGCTCCAAACCACCGGCTCCCCGCCCTGTTCCAAACACTCCCGCCAACTGCCCCTGGGCCTCAGGGCCTGTTCAAACAGCCCCCTGCCCCCCCCCCCCCGGGGCTCCCCGCTGCCATGGGCCAGCCCGCTGCCATGGCTGCTCACACAGGAGCGGCTGTGTTGGCTGTTTGTTTGGTTACGGTTTCCTTGGGTGGGGTGGGGTGGAGATCGACCCCCGTGATACTTCACCCCACTTCGGCTGCCTAGGCCGGAGGCCAGGCCGGACCCCGCATGCTCCCGCCGCCCTCCCTGCCCTCCCGCCCCTCCTGCATCCCCAAACCCCAGGCTCCTCTGCCCTCCTGATCTCAGGTTTGACAATCGCTACCTGTGATGCCAGCCGCTGCCCAAGCAGGACCCACCCTGCGCACACAGCCCCGTCCCCGGCCGAGGGAGGGAAAAGGTCCAGGGAGGGCGCTGAGAACTGGGACCCTCAGGTTGTCCGGGGATCCCAAGGAGGAACACATGGGGTGTGGCCTCCAGAATGTGGGGGAAGTCTGCCCGCCTCTCACTGGCCGCGGCTTGAACCAGCGACAGGCTTCAACACATGAATGATCCCCTCAGGAGCTGGGCCCTTCCAGACTCCATCCCAGAATTATCTCCCTGGGACCCCAGGGGTCCTGCCAGCCCT